TAAGACATGCAAATATTTGACTCCTCATCAAATCTTTGCCCCTAGATTTAGCATCCATTGATGATTCTTGTCTGACCCACTCTCTGCTATCATGGTTGCATTGCAAATTGGTGACTCTTCCACTCTAGCGCTGTCTCTACATTTACCAGTCGACCCGCAGCATTCTACTGTTAACAAGAGTCCTCCGTTCATCTATCTATTGCCCCCCATCATCTACCTATTTACCTATCTAATCTATCATTCGTTATAGACTCATAGATTCTTATTTTCTATAATTCATTGTTGTCCTTAATTGTTTTAGTGCTCAAATCGTTTCAAATTTGGCCGTTGGGAACCCCTTATGTGTCTTTTTGACATGTCCCGTCTTTTTTTTTTTTTTTTTTGAGTACTTCCCTTGTTCTGACACAAAAATGATGCTCATGGCTCATTTTGTACTCCCCCCCTGCTCCAGCTCTGAAACCAGTGGTTTCTCCATGGACTTCTGCTTCCTTTTAGTAGGGAATGGTATTAGAGGCCAAGACTGGGCACTAGGTATGATCGTTGCAACCTGGGTGTCTTTGCTTATAGGTCTTTTTCGTGGATAGGAAAAGGAAATATATGCATGTATATACATATATACATTGTACATATGCATAGGCATGCATATTTACACTTGCAAACACACATATATGTATGCATGTTTTATAAATCTTCAGTCCACATCAATAACTCCAATTTAGTGCATCCCATAGGATCCACCTTGCTTTTCCCCTTTCATTATTTGTATATCCATTCTTCCCCATTGAGAATCCTACCTCTCAACAATATCAACATATTTACTCATCTATAACTCATCTAAAATATATTTATATATTTACTCATATCTAATATAGGCATATGTATTATGTCAATATATTTATATAGATTGATCATATATAATATATATCAATATTATATATATATCATATAAATATATATACATTTACTGATCTATAATACATCTAAAATAGATTCAAAATTGCTTTGCCCATACCTCTACAAAAACAAGCCTACTAGAAAAGGTTCAGGATTTGTTTGCTGTTTTCACCCTATTCCAACCAAGACTGAGAAATATTTATAGTCCAATTCTATGTTTGTAAATTACTTGGATTAGTTGGCTCTTTTTTTCCTTCTTCAGTGGGGCTCTGCTATTCATTTTGATACTGTTATAATCATTTATTTGGTTTGCTTTCAGTTTTAGTAACCCCTTCCTGTTCTTGCTGATTTAATTTTATGTTTTGATCATGTAGACCATGTTTTCAAAAGTCAACACTATGTAAAACAGAACACTCAGAAAAGTGTCACTCCATTCTGCATTCCTTCTTATTCCCTCCATCTCCCCCTCTTAGAGGGAACTAACTGTTGTTTTCTGTTTAACCTTTCTGGGTTTCTTTTTGGACAAGTAAGTGGATATACGCATGCTTTCTTATTTCTCCCTCTTACACAAAAGGTAGCATACTACATATACTATTCTGCAGTTTGCTTTTTCCACTTAAGAATATCTCTTGGGAATTATTCCATACCAGTTCATAGGGATCTTTCTCTTCTCTCTTTTCAGATACAAATTGCCCCATCATGAGTATTTATCATAGTTTATTTAACTGATCACCTATGCTTGGATATCTTGTTTCTCATATTTTGCAACCACAAATAATGCTGCAGTGAATAACCTGTGCAAATGTATTTTTTTGTATTACTGGAGTTGTACCTTCAGAGTTAATGCCCAGAAGTGTGATAGGCAGGTCAAAGTGCAAATGCAGATGAAGTTTGTTGGACAATGCCAAGTTCCTTTCCATAGGGGTTGTACCATTTTGCATTCTCAGTGAGAAAGCAATGTGTGAGTGCCCATGTCTTTGCCAGTACAGTGTCATCATAAACTTTTGAATTTTTGCCAAACTGATGCATGAGAAATGGTGTCTCAATGTTATTTTAATTTGCGTTTATTTTATTCTGAGTGAAACTGAGTATTTTCTCATATGTTTAAGGTCCATTTTTATAACATATTTTTTTACGAATTGTCTGTGGACATCTTTTGCCCATTTATTAATAGGATTTAAACATGTTTAAAGTTGTTTATTTGGAAGAAATAGTTTTTAATACAATTTACACTAACTGAAGGCAGAATCCCAAAGTATCTGCTGTAGGGATAAGCTATGGCTTCTGCCCTCCAGGAATTCACAGTGTATAAACTGAACACTGTCACAGTGGATCCAAACATAAACTCTGGAACCAGAGTGCCTGCCTTCAAATGCCAGTCCTGCCACTTAGGCACGTTTTAAACCTCTTGGCGCTTTAGTTGTTCTAACTGTAAGATGAGAATATTAACAGCATTTACCTCTTAGGATTGTTTTAAGGATTAAATGACTTAACATATGTAAAGTACATTTCACAAATGTTAACTATTTAGCAATCAAGAAAAGGCTCTGAAATACACTGATTTGATCCCATAAGAATTTTGTTATATATATAGTTAGTTATTAAAAATGAGACCTGGACGTTTAGAAACATTAGGTGCATCAGCGGTAGAACCAGGATTTTTTTAAAGTAATCTCCACACTCCACATGGGGCTTAAACTCAAGACCCCAAGGTCAAGAGTCACATACTCTACCACTGAGCCAGTTAGTTACCCCTGAGTAAGATAGATCTTTGAGCCCTTGAAGCTCACTTTCTTGTGCTGGAGGGGTCTGTGTGGGCTGTAGAAAGAAAAAACAAACAACTAAGTAAACCAGTTTTGTCTGTCATGTTCATTATTTGTTGTTCAGCACACACGACAGTGTCAAAATTCATTTGTTAAATGAAAAAAATGAGGAATGAGTGACAGAGTAGTGAAAAATGAAGCTCAATGCATAGGTAGGACCCAAATCATGAAAGGCCTTGTCAACTATTCTGAAGAGTTTGGACTTTATCCTGAGCAGAGAAATCACATCAACCGATCTGCACTGAAGAAAACTTAAGCCAGTGGCTGGGGTGGAGGACGCACAGGAGAAGGGCCCACAGCAAAGTTACCTCAGGGTAGTGGGAAATGATGGTGCTGAATCAAGAGGGAGGTTGAGGGGATGGAGAGGAGGTGACTTGGACAAAGATTTAGAAGTCAGAACCAACTTCACACCGACTTGTTTGGTGCAGAGGGGAGGAGAGAGGAGAGAGAAGTCTGAAGTGACACTGAGGTTTCACTGGGATTAGAAACTGAAGAGGGGGGCGCCTGGGTGGCTCAGTTGGTTAAGCGACTGCCTTCACCTCAGGTCATGATCCTGGAGTCCCTGGATCGAGTCCCGCATCGGGCTTCCTGCTCGGCAGGGAGTCTGCTTCTCCCTCTGATCCTCTTCCCTCTCGTGCTATCTCTCATTCCCTCTCTCAAATAAATAAATAAAATTTCTAAAAAAAAAAATAGAAGTCAGCTAAACCTTTAAAAAAAAAAAAGAAACTGAAGAGGGGTAGCTGACTGGGGAAAACGAAGAAAGGACTTTCCAACACACACAGATTTGGGGCAACTGTGGGACAATGCTCAATCTCTTGACTACACTTTCATTTGGCTTCTCTACACTCCTTAAAGTCAGGAGCTGTGTGGACCTGTTCAGGGCACTGTAGTAGCAGCCTAGGAGATAGTGTCTAATAGTGGAAAGGAAAGCAGTTAGGTCAATAGACTAGGAAGGGTGTAGCCTTAGGTCCCTGGGGGTCCGTGATGGGGTGCACTGAGTACTAAGTTAACTGTTAACTCTAAGGTTATTCTTTGACGGCAAACATACTCATTTTTGCATCTTCTTTCATGCCCAAGATGATACCTTACATAAAGCAGATTGTGGGCAACATTAAATAGATGCCACATAGGGAGATTATGAAAGGAAATCCATCATCAAGCCAGGCTCATGGCTGGAAGCTTAGGGGCACTGAACCAGGATGCAGGGAGTAGGAAGTAGGAAGTCCAGGAGGAGCTCCAAATCCCCTTCCATAAAGACAGAAAACAGATGAATAAATCGACAGCCCAATGAAAACCCAGATAGAATGGCACTGTGCAAGTTTCCAGGACACCAGTGCTTTTCTAGAGATTATGTAGGATGAAAGGCCGTGATTTTTAGACTTGTGAGAAGACCTGGACAATACAGCAATCTGGACACCTGGACACCTATCTCTACCAAGAAAAGGAGTTTTTAATGCTTTGGTGATATGGTAAAAAATCCAAAAGAAAAGAGACCGTGTTTCACAGAAGTTTCCACATGCTGGTATTTATTTTTAAAAAGTGACCTGAACTTTCTACAGGATATCACTGGATTCTCACAAGAAGGTTCATCATAGTTAGTAAAGGACCTGCTACAATTCATTTTCTGATGACAGTGCTTTCTGGCTTGTCCCTGCAGGTACTAGGAGCAGGAAAGGGTGTGCACGGACAGGAAGATAGGCGGAGGGTCTCATAAGCAGATGGGAACTATTGCAAATAAACCATAGGATGGTCTCCGGAGGGGAAGCAACATTAGGGACTTGGACGAGGAAAGATCAAAAGGAAAAGCTTAGGAGGGGGGCAGACAGGGAGGAGGAAAATAGCTGTGGTGGAGAAGATGGGGGATAAAAAAGAGAAAGGCGTGTGAAAGCAACCTCAAGTGCAGGGCACGAGTTAACGATGATGAAGAAGAGCAGTAAAAAGAATTGGGTTACTGAACTGGGAAGGAGGGACTTGGTTCTCTGGAGATCCCTTCTGCGTTTACACGGACCGGCTCAGCGCTAAGGGGGTGTGGTACTGAGCTCAGAGCGGTGTGGTGCGAGGCGATAGCGGTGGGGGCGCCGCCCAATCCCTTCCAGAAGTGGAAGGCCGGGAAAACCTAGCGACTGGCGGGCAGGCGGGCAGCCGGGCAGGGAGGCTGGCAGAGCGGAGGCGGAGCGAGGGCGCCGATGGGCGGGACGGGGGAGGGCGTGGGGAGGACAAGGAGGAGCTGGCTACTGGCGGCGCTAGGACCCACGGGCGCCCCGCCGGCTCCCGGGAGGTTGATAAAGCGGCGGCGGCGTTTGACGTCAGTGGGGAGTTAATTTTAAATCGGTACAAGATGGCGGAGGGGGACGAGGCAGCGCGGAGGCAGGAGCCGCAGCTGCGGCGCCCGCGGCGGACCAGCGACCCAAGCACCGGGGTTAACCACGTCTCGTCCACGACCTTCCTAGGTACGCTCCGGGCGAGCGGAGGCCGCAGGGCCCGGGTGGGGAGAGGGCGCGGGCCGCTTGTACCCGCGGGCACCGGCCGCGGGCGGCGGGGTCGTCGTCCGCTGCTGGTTCAGCTCTCCTCCTGCCGCCGCGTCTGACGGCCGCCGGGCCTAGCCCCCGCAGCGTGCCGAGCTTCCGCGGCGCGCGGCCTGAAAGGGCGGCCCTGGGGCCGCGGCTCCTGCTGCTGTCGGGTGAACGGGCGGCGAGCGCGTCTGCGCCCGGCCCCCTGCCCGCCCGCCCGCCCGCCGCGTGGCTGCCTCCGCGTGGCTGCCGCCGCGTCCGCCCCGACCTGAGGGGGCGGCCTTGAGCTGGGGCCGCAGACCTGGGGCGCGGGGAGGTCGGTGGCGCCGCAGCTGGGTGCAGGAGCGCTCCGGACGCGGCAGGGCGATCTGTCTCCTGGCGGGCACTGTGCTCTCTGTTCCTCTGTCAGAAAGGGAGGTAGGGGTGGCCAGAGCTTTATGGGCCCCCACGGAGGAGGAGGACGCGGAGCGCGCGGGGGGAGCGGACACCTCGCTGCCAGGTCGGAAAGCTCTCCAGACACCCTTCCAGGAGGGAACCGCAGTCCGCAGGCCAGGGCTGTGCCCCGGGGCTCGCGTTCTGGGGCTCCTCGGCCCCCGAACCCATTGGCGCGGGTTGCGCGTGGCTAGGATGCAAGTCCAGATTTAGTTGTTAAACTAGGGTTGTGAGCAGTTACTAGTCACTCACGGTATAGTAAGGCCCGATCAGACTGAAGTGTCTGCGGTGTGAAGTCACCTGATCCTTCGCTCCCCGGTTTTGTTGAATGTGAGCTGCTACTGTACGTGTACAAGGAGCGCCCCTGTCCCCTCCAAGACATGTTTGCTTTGGCAGCGGAGTGTTGTGTGTCCCTCTCATAACACCCCTATTTTTAGGAGTTCAGCATTTGATCTTTCGCTCTGGTGTGAATTGAACGCATGAAATCCTGGTTGAGAATTTTGATGGTACTTAAAGGCATAAAGTTTTTCAAAGGCTTATAAATAGTAAAAGCTTACGGTTAGGTAAGTACGGCCATGGCATACATAAGAGTTTATAAACTACACTAAATGTGAACTTGTGTTCTTCAGATTCCTCTCTTTCCACAATCTGATAAAGGTTTTGTAAGATGAAATGTAAAACACTTTGATAAGGTGTTATCCGTGAAGACTAAGTTCAGTAGAAGAGTTTACGTGAAATATATTTCATCATTCATAGTAACCTTTGGATGTGCTGAACATATGTCAGAGGTGATGACAAACTAGAGTTTTGATACGGGAGAAAGAACAGGAAATAAAGCTTATTTTATTGCTTGCCAACAAAAGCACTTGACAGAACTGTTTACATAGAACCCCCCCCCCCCCCCCGAGGTTTTGCCTTAGATATCTTCTGGTTGGAATTCTCAAGTAATTAGTTTTGGAATGCCGATGGATTGATTTAGATCTTTGGGGCCCTACGGGTGTGTGTGTGTGTTGTGTGTTCGCTCTTGCACTTATTTATTTATATTTTAAGGTAACTGTTTTAGATGTATTTTCAAGGTGATTTATGCACTTGCCTTACTAGGAGAAGCATAACTTTATGACTTAGTCATGGTTATGAACACCGTTTTTATTTTGTGGTACATTGAGATGTGATTCTTGAGTTGATATATAGGGCTCACCATTTATTAAACATTCTGCTACTCACAGGTTTTTGTGTGTTTTTAAACATTCTGCTACTCACAGGTTTTTGTGTGTTTTCCCCCCCACTCTTGGAGGTATCCGTTCCCTTGATAACCATACCTATCAGATGACTGCCTGAAACCTTTTCATTTGCTCTCTAGTCACTCAATACGACATTAAAATCCAAATAAAACTTCTTAAGATTTGTGTTTAAAGTCAGAGCCAACAGGCCGTGAATGAGTAGGGACTCGGCTATTTTTGACAGTGTATAAGGAACTCTTTGTCTCCCTCTGCTTTCTGGATAAGTAAACTTGAGTTGGGGTGAGTCAGGTGCCACTGTAGTAGTTTAGTCTAAGGAAGGTGCTTTGTGTCTCTTAAGAGAAATGCTTACGCTCTTTAGGAATGTAGGATCTTTGTAAAGCACTTACGTACTCTTGTATTTTAATGGCTTTGTAGGATGATTAAATCTCTTGGAAATTCTTTTTTTGGGAAACAAAGAGCTGTCTTTATCATACAGTAAAGAGGTATTTATTACAGGGAAAATAAACCGTGAGTTAAAATGAGATCCTGGCTTTAAGTTGGGTGCACCTATTTTGGGATTCAATTTTAATTTGCCAGTGTGTTTTAAC